AATGCATGGATTCTGGTTCTAAATGAATAGAATAGAAAGAGAAGTTCGTCGAAAAGCGAAAAACGTCTGCATTAACTCGAATATTTATAGTTATTTACCTGAACAAAAAAAAAAAAAAAAAAAAAAGACTGTTTTCGTTTGAGAGTCACTTGATGATCATACGTAGTTGCTAGATTACACACACACATTAATCATAACACAGATTGATCATACATAAGTACTGATCATACATAGCTGCAAAATCATACATATAAAATCATCATACACAGCTGCATGAATTTTCTAACTTTCTAATTTCTATGGTCATTTTCCCACCATTATTCTCTTGAAAAGTTTCTTTTAGTACTGAAAAGAACGCAATTTTTGAATGCAACTTACTTCACCCGAATTCTACTCCTTCCATCCCCCAAAAAAAAAAATTGTACGAAACAAGGCTGTATTCATTATTATTGTGTAAGTAACGCATGCAATAGTCACATTGAAAATTTTATGTTAAGACATCTTTCCTTCCTATGACTTTCCGTAATTCATAAATCATTAACATCATACTTTGATTAATATTGTCATTAAATTTGATTGAGGGAAAACATTGAAAAAAAAACAGAAATATGTGATTCGATAAATTTCAAATACAATTATTATGTGCTTTAAATCAATATGCTAAAATTTTTCACATTATTTCTGAAATTTTATCTTTGACAATCGATATTTCATAGCATTTATTTATCTATAACAAACTGGAGCTTAATAACTAAAAACATCAAATTCAAAATTTTGAAATATAGTTATGTTTTGTGCACACCTTAATCGTAACTATAATTTTGAGAAATTATTATAGACTCGAAATTCTAAGTTTACAATGATGCTTGAAAAATTTTGGATGTTTCTCTGTGTTACGATGACACATTTGTTGGGATTTAAATGTCCACTTAGCATCGATATATCAGGAAAAAAGAAAATTTATCAATGCATTCCTTTTTATAATTCTGAAAAAAAAAACGTTTCCATAATGTTAATTATTAAAACCTGCAAGTTATATTATATATAATTCCAATTTCTTCGTGGCACTTAAATTCTTAACTCTTTTTCGTTTTTTGGTAACTAAAATGCTATTGCTAATAAATAAAATTAGTGACTGCTTATTAAAACGCTTAGTTGGATAAACTTTTCTGAAGTCACACTTCTCTTATGATCGTTTCCTGAACTCAAAATGTTTAATCTCTGTCTGCAAATGTTAAATGAAAACAGTGACTGCGAGCAAACAAATGAAAGCCACTAAATTTTCAAAAAGTGTAAATTACTTACGGCATCATAAATTTAAAAGCTTAATAACTCCTGCCTTTTATTTTCCAGTCTATGAATAATGTAATAATTTAACAAAACAATACTTTCGTGTAACTGCAAAAATCTAAGCAAATAAAATCTATTCTTCATGCAGGAACATTTCAGCTGAAGGCCGGTCAATAGTGTATTCAACTAAATGTTTTTCTACTAAAAATACGCTTTCAGCAAAAAAATATGTTCTGCTGGACCAGTTTCTGGAAGCTGTTTCAACTAAATCGCAATAATATGGTGAAATTCCGCCCAATTTTGAAGTTTATTTTATTACAATACTAATTTTAATATCTTTCAAAATAGAAAATTAATTAAGATTTTCACTTATTCTCACTAATCAAATACTTTCTTGGTTATAATCCACCTGTAATACTGACGTGTAAAATAAATTTGTCTTTTACCAGGTTTTTAAAATTATATTTTTTTGCTATGTTTGACTTTTACAGCATGAAAAAGCTCCATCGAAATACAAGAGGACATTAATGAATTCAATATGCAAATTTAAATGACGGCATAATTTTAACTTAATTTAAATGACGGTTTAAATGATTGAATCACTTTGAAAAGTTTGAATCTTTTTTATATTATATCTAATTTTGCATCTTATAACTGTGCTTTTGTTCTTATTTGCCACTTCTAATTTTTATAAATTAGAAATTACTTTCCGACATTCCGCATATTTTAAACAAACTGTTCAATTCTGGGATGCCCACTAGCTGTCAGGCGATAAAGTCGCTGATTATTGGTTGCTGGACCTGGGTTCGATTCCCGTCGAACGGGCTGCTGCATGGGCATTTTCGTGGTTCTCTTGTCAGGAGATGTATGTCTCTTCACTTGCTTCGGGAACATACTGTATCCTGAATAAGAACAGGGAACTTACTATAGTTCTGTTCCAGATTGTGTGGAATTGACGACACAAGCAGGAAGGGTATACTAAACCCTTTATTCTCTATTACTTTACAGGTACTCCCGTACTTCGGGATGCAGAGACCAACCACTTGTGCTCTGAACGTAAAAATATAAAACTACTAACTAAAAACTCTAGCTAAAAGCTAACTTTGAATTAGTATACAAATGCCTAGCACTAAGACTGGCCTTTATTTAAAACTGTACGTATGTAGTACGCCGAGCTGCTGAAACTACAATACGTTTTCAAATATCAAGAGGGCTAAACCTCTGACCTTAAAGGCAAACAGCAACCGAGTGAAAACTCGTAAAACTACAGTGGGAAGCGGCTTGCTTCCTAAAACTCCTTCTCTCTCTGACTCTTGGCAAAAAGCCACAACTTAATACTTGGGCGTTAGCAAGACAATTTGCAAACAAAATAAAGCATTTAATTCTGGCCGGAAGTAGAAAATAAGAAGTGATAGTACAGTTTTAAAATAAAATAAACGTTAGTAAAACTTAGGATCCTTACACTCTTAGAAAATCCTTCTCGAAGGCATCCCTCAGGAAGACAGCCTTTGTGTGCTTTGCTATAATCAAGTAACCCAAGCCAAATTATTTTTGGAAGCTGAAAAATTGCAGGAAACTTTCCTATAAGGCGTAAACAAAATAAATCTAGCATAAATCTTAGTCCAACTGTTGAAAAGTAATAATCACATGCTCAAAGTTTGAAGTTTAACGCAACCTTTTCTATCTCTCCTGTAGTCCCTCGAATCTGAGTCTCCAATATAATGCATTGCCTAGGATTATTTTACTTTTTTCAGAGTAATATTATATAACGCACTTTTAATAGTTATTCGTCTGGTGATTCAGATCTCCTTCTCCATCATATCACATACACGTTGGCAACAGTTCTTGTTTAAGTTACATTGGTCTTCCTTAGACAAAACCATTGTGGTGTATTCTAGGCAACGAGAACGATGCCCAAGATACACCTTTAGGGTTGATCGATATTACACCCTCAAGGATGGTGCAAAGCAATACACATACCTTCAAGCCTTACAAGTCGAATTCGAAACCTTGGTTTAGAGCTAGCAGTCAGTTTCCGATAGCTAATATACCATCTAAGCCGGTAATTTTTAATCATATTATTCATTTCTTGAAACCCATTGCTGCATCTGTCATTAATTGATACCATCTGCTCTTTTATTGCCGTATGTTCTCATTGCATTCGCAAACATATAGATGGAACTTAAACATCGTTCAAGCTGTCTCTGTAAGGCATACGGCCGCAGCAGAGCTGAATGCATCTTCGTAAGATCTTTTTAGATGTAGCAAAGGAAGCCTGTAGGATGCTTGCAGTCTCTAGATGACATTTCTTTTGGGAAAAAATGCTACACATATCTGGTAGGCTGTTTGTAATTAATTAAGCTAGTAGGGGGATTTACTTGAGCAATAAATCACACACCATAGCATATAATCACATTATTTTCTTCACTATATCAGATGCTGTCATTGCTATAATAACGAGTTATTTCAAAAGGAAACTTTCCAGAAATCGCCGTACTAATACCAAAAGCAAAATTTAAAAGCAGAAATGACTTTTGGTTACTTTTTTTTCACATGTGTGTAAGCTTTCAGAAGATAAATTAAACACCTTTCAGAGACATTAGGTTATTTCGAGACCAGAAAGATGAAAAGTATGCAACGCCTTCGCCGGGAATCGAACCAAGGACCTCTGGAATACACGCCCAGCGTGCAGACCACCACACCACGGTGGCATGCCTCCGTGCCAAAAGCAAAATTTAAAAGCAGAAATGACTTTTGGTCACTTTTTTTTCACATGTGTTTAAGCTTTCAGAAGATAAATTAAACACCTTTCAGAGACATTAGGTTATTTCGAGACCAGAAAGATGAAAAGTATGCAACGCCTTCGCCGGGAATCGAACCAAGGACCTCTGGAATACACGCCCAGCGTGCAGACCACCACACCACGGAGGCATGCCAAGTAGATAGGAGAAATAATTTATATACTCCTCCTTTTAAAGGGGGACTGGGGTTTTTTAGGAGACCCAATCGCCAAATCCTGGAGAGTGGAGAACCATCATCCCATCCAACACCCTTTTTTTTTAATTCGGGCGCCTCTGTAGAGACATTAGGTATTTTTTAGAAGTAGGCAAGATGAAAAATTAGCAACGCCTTCGCCGGGAATTGAACCCCGGACCTCTGGAATACGCGCCCAGCGCACAGACCTCCACACCACGAAGGCATGCCAAGAAGGTGGGAGAAATACCTTATAAGCTTAGAATAAGAATCGTATTGCAAAATGAATAAATCATAATATATGTTTTTCTCTCGTGGGGGGAGATAGAATTTTTTAATCAAGAAAAGGAATTGAAAAATTTTTATCATTAACAATTAGGAATCAGGAATTTTAAAATTAATAAAATTTATTACTCAGTAGTAGTTTAAATAAATGTAATAGTGATAAAAATAATTAATTTAGGTATTTAATTACTATAATAATATTATTTAAATAACTTTATTTATGTAACTAATAATTGAAATAAGTAAATGTTCTTCATTACAGATACTGTAATATATTTTTTTTTAAAAATTGCACTATAATCAGCAGTTTACTTCTGTTTTAGAAACGTCGTTTGCGATAACTTTGTTTTGTTGTTTTCTGAAAACTTAACACATCAGGACGAAGATAAAATAAGGCCGTAGAGAACGAAAAAAATTGAATGATAACATTTTTTATTTTTTTATGTTTTTAGAATGCATCTTTGGAACAAAAACAGTTCTTTAGCAGAGGTATGAATTGCCCACGTGGTCTGCAAATAAATTCATTTCCTATAAAGGGATAGCCTGGGAATGAAGCAGTTGCGTCTCAAATTAAAGTGATGATGGGCTTACGGAGTTTGCTGTGCTATACTGTGTTATTGCTTTTGCAGGTAAAACTGTTTTCTTTGCTTATATGGTTCATTATTATGACTTTTTTATGGTTTCTAAAAGTCTTATGATTATTTAAGCTCCTAATAGAATCCATGTATTCCATTTCAATGTTAGTTACCCTCTCTTTGACAATTTAATTTTCCCCCTATTTATCCATTGTTTAACGTTGTTTCCTTAAATTCTGATTCTGATGAAGAGCTAAAAAGCATAACAGAAGTTTTCAATTATAGTTAATGTGTTAAACTGTGTTAAAGAAATTTTATCAAAGGCATCTTAAAATACGAAAATGTGAAAGGCATAAATTGATTTTTTAATTATTTAGAAAAGAACATTAAATGTAAACGGTTAACATTCCGAAGCAATAATTTCTTTTTGCAAAATTCTGGAAATCTTGGTTTCAGTCAAACACGCACAGATCTTGAAGGAATTTTGATATAAAATTTTATAACTGCATTTATTTATTTGACATTCATAGCACGGTTGACGCCCACTGACAGAACGGAACAGTTCAACAAAGCAGAGGAAATATCGGCGGCTTCACTAACTCTGTAATTATAGACTTTGCATTCAGACTAAGAGGTTGCGCATGGGATTCGAATTAAAAGCAAAATCTTAGCCCTGTCCAACAAAAATGTTAATGATTTGTAGGGATTTATATTTATTTTAACTAATATTTTAAAGTTTTATTTGAAACTTTCCTATAAGCCTTCATTCCACTAATTGTCAGTGCCAGAATAGTTATTTGTTGTAACTCGCGTGAACGAATGCAAATTTTCTATTTGGAAGGAAGTAGTTAAAAGCCGAGTTTCGGTAGGAGAAAGGCAAAGTTAGGTTCTAGCTGCCGTCTCTGCCGTAGGTACGTTTGCTTATTGCTGGTTCAAGGGTTCAAGTGGCTTAATTGCATTGCTTTGCTGCCACTAGCTTAGAAGGAGGTCGACGTTCGGGGTCTCGCTGAGCCCTGTAGGGGCTAGTTTTATCACTTGTCAATATTTCAACTTTTAGTTTCAATTATCTGACTTTCAGTTACCCCCCAAGTAGAGGCGAAGTTTGTTAGCGTTGAGTTGACGCATTGTAAATTCTAAAGAGTTAATAAAGGGTATGTGAACCCTTCTACTGTGTAGTTTCCTGCTACTCCAGTATACAGATAGAAGTTAACCCACCTGGACTCTACAGATTGAATAAATTTTAAAAATTAAGTACTTGTTGCTTATCAAATGCGGAATCAAGGAAAATAACAGAAACAGAAATCAGCTGTCAAGTTTACGCAAGCAAATTTAAAATTTTAAAACATAATAGCATGTTTAATTTTACGGTGTTTCCTGTTTAGGAAAATGTTGCAGTTGTTCATCTCTCTTTTGCTTTTCTAAAACTATAAAAATTAGATTCGTCTGCGCATATCTAAAAATGTGAGCTCGTAACAGTCAATAACTTCTTGACTATTTTATGACTAGTTCCTGTTATTTATAAGTATGTAGAGAAATAAATATATGCTTGAAGGAGAATATGGTGAAATCCCAAATTAAAACTTCTAAAATAAATGGTGCCGCTGCTGAGAACTCTGAGAGGAGATCTAAACCTTCAGTGAATATTATTTTCTTTTTAAATCAGGCTAGATATAGTTGACCCAAAAGCGAAATTAGAATGAGTTTATTTTCTAACTGCCTAAAGCAGAGATTTTCAACCGGTGGTACGCAAGAGAAAATAGGTGGTACGCAAAGAAACAAAGTTGTTTTAACTATTAAATTCAATAATTAAATACCCTAACATCCTGTTTAAGTTTTCCTTCTAAAACTAGTTAATTTATGCCATTTGAGCTTTATTCAGGTTCAATAGCCGCTCATAGACTTTAGCAAAACAATGAGTTTTTATTTTCACAAATATTCTTTGAGCCATAGACATAATAAAATTTGTCATAAATAATATTTCTAAAAAGAGTAATAGGCATGGATGTTGTATTTAATAAGTTCCTATAAAAAGATAATAGTATTTCATTAATTCTTTTAGTTAATCGATTTATTAGCATTGTTACACTTTTAGAGTTAATTGATTTATTAGCATTGTTACAGGTATTTTGTCTTCTTGGTGCTCTGTATTCCTTACTTTTACATGATTTGAGAATATCGTCGTCTGTTTTTGAAGAACTCGTTTTATATATATTGTGCATTTAAATATTTGTGAAAAATAATAAAACAAACATAGACTTTTGGAAAAATGGCTAAGAGTGAATAAACGGAAAAGTGATGTTTCACAGGTGATGGATCTAGGACGGTCTACTAGCACTAAGATTATTGAAAAGAAAAGAAAAATGTTTTATAAAAAATATAATGAATGTTATCATTTTGGTTTACTTGGAATGAAGATGAAATGAATCCCTACCTCAATGTGTTGTTTGCGGGGAACTCCAACGAAAGTGTGAAACCATCGTGTCTTAAAAGACATCTTGAATCTAAGTATGCCAGTTTAAATGATGAATCTGAAGAATATTTTAAGAGAAAATTATCGGAGTTCAAAAATAGTAAACACGTAACGAAAAACCTTTTGCGACATTTTTCAAGTGAAAAAGCTTTGAAAGCTAGTTACCTAGTAAGTCTAAGAACTGCCAAGATTGGGCAGGCTCATACTATTGAAGAAAACCTTATATTACCCGCAGCTAAATATATCGTTTTAACATTATTGAACGAAAAAGCGGCTAATGAACTTGATAATATTCCATTATCAAATGATACATTTAAGTCGACGAATTCATGAAATGGTAAATTCCACAAAACAGATACTTATTCAGAAAAAAAAAAAAAAATGCAGTGGAACCAGAAAAACTGAAGAACACCTGATCGCATTTAGCCGTTATATTTCGCCCTCAATCAGACGGACTTAACCAATCTGCTCTGAAACATTTTATGGTTGTTGATATGTATATAAATACAAAACTTTCATTCTAGAGTAATAAAAACTTGCATGCGTTAAGACAGAGAATCCTTGAGTGCTCTTCAAAAATAAAGATAAGCTGTAGCATGAAGTTCCTGATTGTTTTCATTGTAAATACCATAATTTCTTTTCATGTTGAATCATTAGTCACATATCGGATTAATAAATTTATTTATTTATGATATCATCTGTTAATTCCTTTATCAAAATATTTTTCGAGAATTATCTGGGAAGTGATAATTCATCCAATCTGGACTTAGAATTCTAAACAACATCATTAAACTTTGGATATGATCATTGGAGTTTTCGAAAATATTCGAATATTCGAAAAAACATCATACTCAAATTACAGCATCAATAGCAAATCCTTTAATGATACCAGCAGATTAAAAAAGGAGAAAAAAACGTGCTTTTAAAGGCTATTTTTATAAAAATTTATCGAAGAGTACCATCGATAGTTTATTACGTTTTGTATAGTTTCTTAAAATACATGTTTGCATTAACTTTTTGTTAAATAAACGGGCGTTTGTCGTCTCTGCTCTTGTATACGTTATGCAACACTTTTCAGAAATTTTGTTTCCAGACCCTAAACTTCTTTTCATGGTCTGCGTAGATCCTAATTACTGAAGAATCCTTGAAGTCTCACTTTTAACTTCATATGTGAGCTTTGACATATCCCATCCAAAATTAAAAGGAAGAAGATTGTTCCATTTTTTCTAACTTAAAACAGGAGGTGAAGATGGGTATTAAAAGAATTAAATAGCCAGGGACTTCGAAATTTTAACGGTAAATTTTAAGTTCGAAATGTTAACAAAATTTAATTTCTTTATTAAGAAATGTAAGTTCAGTTCTCTGTTGATTAAATAGCTTGAAACACTGATGTTTTAAATTTAATCTGCATTTTCTCCAATAAGACAAATTGTTTGAAACTTAAAAATTTACCCACCTTATGATTTATGTTTATCTCTTATGCTGAAACAAATGAAATATAAAAAATGTTACTCAAAAATACTTTGTAATGACAATCAGTGTGAAGAAAAATTATTTAAAATATTATTTAATACTTTGAAACTGCCTCTACTTGCCATGTTTTTCCCCCTGCGGCATCCAGCGTTTCTCATTCCCAAGAGAGTTAGGCTAGAACCAGTTGGAACCACTTGGAACCGGTTAGAACCACTTGGAACCAGTTAGAAACGGAACCAATTGGAACCGGAATTATCATTTGCTGGATACGTGAGAAGGAAATGTTTAAAAATTTTTTATCCTAGGTTACAGCCTGTGATGCAGTTCAGATGTTTTAAAGTACTATGAAAGTTGTCTCACAAAACGTGATGGATTCTTACATATAAGTAAACTTCCAGAAAAAATCTGAGATTTCATTACAGTTTGAAATTTTAAATATGGTTGATACAGAATACTTTGGTCTGATAGCTTTATTTTATTAGTTTCCAAATTCCCACTTCGAAGGATTGAGCATGCTCTTTTTCACTGGAAACCAAACAATATACGTCTTTATTTGTTCATTATATGCTGCTCCTGAAACTTGAAATGGTTTGAACTAAGTATTTGAACCAACCGCCATATTTTCGGTTCAAGCGAAAGAGCAAACGCAGCATCTGTGAAATTATGTGTCATTTATTTGTGAGCGAAATGTATAACGTCTAGAGTCATTAGTAATTTACCGAAGCAGGATACCTTGAAAATGTACTATGCCCTCGCTGAGCTTTAAACTTCGGACCTCCCGATTGCTAGACGGACGCGTCTTAAATTACATCACGAAGGCATGTGGTAAAGAGGAAGAAAATATCATACGAGCGAACTAAAGTCACATTCATTTGGAGAGTCTCGTTAGTAGGATAGAAGTGTTGTTTAAATTGATATCGTATACTTTTATTATCGAAATTTTTCCTTAACTGCAAATAAAATGTACAAATAACTGCAAACAAAATTTAACTTAAAAAAAGTTTAGAAAAAGTAAATTAAACTCCATCACAAATCACTAGAATAGAGGACAAACAATTTTTCCCAAAACAGGAATCATTATCACGATATTTCAGTTACGTTAACCATTGAA